TTTTTTTCTTTTTGATTTTTTACCTGGATTACTGAGATGCATCAGGACAACAGGAATAATGGGGGAAAAATAAGGAAAAAAATGTGTAAAATGTTGTCATACCTCTGTGAGCCAGCAGGGGTCGCTGTCGCACCGCTGCATTCCGCCAGCCTCAGCTGAAACCAGTGGTAGGTGTCCCAGTTAAAAATGCAAGTTTTGACGCGTTTTAATTAAATCTTTTAGACATGTCACGTCCCAGCTTTAGTTAATCACGGGGGGAACTCATTTCGTGAAACTAACACTTAGTCGCCTCATGCAAATCTAGAAGCTGGTGTTTTAAAGCTAAACAAAAAGTTTGTCTCAGTTAGTTTTCCTCGTTTTTAGCGTCTGTTTGTGGATTCAGAAACCTCCCGAGTTAAAAAAAAAAAAAAAACCGTCTGATTAGTTTTAATCGAACCGCAGAGCTGAAGTTCCCCCATTGGACAGAGCAGCTCTCTCAGTCGGACGTTTATGTAAATCCGCCCCCGAATATGGACACGGAGGAATGAAATATGGTGGAGGAGGCGAACATGGAGGACTCGAGCCCCGCTGCGGAGCCTTCAGGGGCGGCTTGTTGAGGCGGGGGGGGAAGTGGATGTTCCTTCGGCGGAGAACCGCTCGGCTCGGCGGGGCTGTTTCACATTCGCGGCTCTTTTTCTCCAGTTTGCCTCGTCGGAGTTTRGTAGTAATGCAGTGAGGAGGTTTTGTTCTGGGGGTGGGGGGATTAAAAAGAAGGGCAGAGAGGGGGGCTCCAGTCCTCTCGCCGTCTCGACGCTATGCCGTGGGTGAGCGGCTGTAAGCGGAGGGAGAGCTCCGAGCTGCCGCTGCCCGCGGGCTGGGAGGAAGCCCGGGACTTCGATGGAAGAGTCTTCTTCATCGACCACAACACCCGGCAAACTTCGTGGATTGACCCCAGAGACAGGTAGGCTGGAGGCCCGGAGGCTCACACACACTCAGGTTGATTCAAAAAGTTTATCTAAATGACACGGAGGAGCTGAAAGGAAGGAAGGGACCGCTACAAAACCAATCAAAACGTGTTTCTTAAAACTTTGATTTATTTTTGGTACCAGCAACTACAGGAGCAGGAAACTGTGGGTCAGCTGAGGTTTTGCAGGAGTTTTGAGACCTACCCAGCTCTTACAGAGGCTTAGGAAAAAAAAAAACCTAACCCACCATACTGCTGTTTACAAGGTTTAAAATTTGCCTCTGAACGTGAAGCCTGACGGTGTTGTGACAAGGAGCAGCTCAGCCTTTCCGGTTGTGTTTCAGAGGAGTTTRGTGTCACCAGAACCCAGCAGCTCATCTGTCTCATCCTCATGGAAGAGAGAGAAAAAAAGATCCYGTCTGACTCACGGTTCARTCATTTCTACTTATCAGTGAGGTTGATGACTTTCAGTGACCTGAAACATTCCTGTGTAACAAACCTGAACAGAAACATGTTCTTTTTAACACACATCCACCTCATGAAGACCAGCATGCTTCTTAACCTCGTACAGATTTTCAAAATGTCCTTTTAATGTGTCTGACTTGATTTGAGAGTGCTGWCAGGCCAGAGGTGAAAAACTCCAGTTCCCAGAAATCTTTGTGCAAATATGTGAAGAATGTGAGTCGGGCCAGTGGGAAAGCTGCAAAGGATGTGCTTTTTGTAGGGACTTTGATTTCAGCAATGCAGAACCAGGCTCAATCAGGCACTCGAAGCCAACACTGTGAGATTACTGGGAATTATAACAAGTTTCTTTTTAATCTCCTATGTGGAAAAGATGGAGAGTTAACCCTTTAGGTGTGTCAGGAAACATGAGCCGAGGATGAATTTTAGTCGGTCTGTGGATGGTGAGAATAGGACATATAAAAAAGAAAATAATAGGAAGCAAGGGGACATATGTATGTATGTATGTATGTATGTATATATGTATGTATGTATGTATATATGTATGTATATATATATGTATGTATGTATGTATGTATGTATGTATGTACGTACAGAATATACATCAGAAAAAGTAAGTAAATTAGTGTTTGGTAGATAATTTCTTTGTTGTAACAATTCTTCTTGATAATAACTCTTATAGCAGCACCTGGGGATACCAGGTCAAAACAAGAGCCAACTAGAAGCACTCGGAGAGCGCAAACCTCCGCCAAGGCCAATTCCCCCTATCGTGCAATAGTGAAAAATCCTTCAAGAAATTCTTGGATCTGGATCGTGATCTGGATCATCACCAACCTTTAGCCAATACCCACCTGTGGTAAAAAATTCATGAAAATCCATCCATAAGTTGAGTAAGTTTTTAGAAAGACAGACAGATGCGACCGAAAACAACCTCCTTGGCGGAGGTAATACCAACAACAAAATAACAAAAAAAATTTGCTGTTTGACAGAGAAGATTTGGCAAATTTTTCACATGCACAACCCACATACTCAGCTCTACAGCTCCTCCAACAAATGCAGGTTCCTTACAAATGTGGCACCATTTAAAAGAGGAATTAATGGGTGGCTGTTGCAGAGTGGTTAGGGGAGCCGTCCTGGAACCGGAAGTTCGCCGGTTCGATCCCCCGTCCAGCCGTTTCAGTCGTTGTGTCCTTGGGCAAGACATGTCCTGATGCATCTCAGTAATCCAGGTAAAAAATCAAAAAGAAAAAAATTGTGTAGGTCTTCTGGACGGGTTC